TTTCCCCCCCCCCCCCCACACCGACTAAAACTCCCACCCTTTATCTACTACCTAAAATTCATAAAGCTGGCAACCCGGGTAGACCTATCATCTCTGGATGTGATGGCCCCACTGTCAGATTATCGAAATATGCGGACCACTTCCTCAAACCCTTAGTTACCAATATCACCTTATTTGTTAAAGATTCAACAGAAGGTATCGCCGCATCAATTGAATACCTTCAAAGATTTAATAGCGAAGCTAACACTGATTTTCTACAGGAAATACTTACACTTGTACTTCATAACAATTGTTTTGAATTCGATAATAAATATTATCTCCAGACCCAATAAACTGCTATGGGTTCTCCAATGGCGCCCTCATATGCCAATCTTTTCATGGGTCAATTAGAACACAACATGTTAAGGGATGCCCCTGGTGGATTGATTCCACTTGAGCGGATAAGATTCATCAATGACATCTTTGCAATATGGACACATGGAATTGATAAACTAAAGGAGTTCCTGCACCATATTAACAACTTCCATCCCACTATTAAATTCGAAATTGAGTCTCCTATGAAAGAGTCCATTTTCTTGATACTAATATTTACATTAACAACCTTAAACAACTGCAATCTGACCTTTTTATTAAACCTACAGATAAATCTCTACTGTTACATAATGAATTCTTTCACTCTAATAACTGCAAAATTAGCATTATATATAGCCAAGCCCTTAGATACGTACGGCTAATTACTAACCGTAACAGATTTAGTGAACGCCTTCAAGACCTACGTGTTAATTTAATTACTAGGGGCTATACTAACAATATAATTGATAATGCATTTAATAAAGCTCTACAATACACTCAGTCCAATCTATTAATTGACGAAAATCAGGAAAATATGAATAAAACTTTCGGATTGATGATAATTCTACTAACCAGTGTCCAACTAATGAAACTAATAGTAATAAACCCATACTAACGTTCTCAGTACCATATAACACTAATACCACTCATATAGGATCTATCTTGCGTAAATACTGGCATCTTATTGACCAAGACCCATCACTAAAGCTTTTATGGCCGGAACCCCCTTTGGTTTCCTACAAACGCAACCATAACATTAAGGATCGCATAGTGCATTCCAAGCTCTCAAATAATTAACACTAACAAAATTAACCGCAGAACTAACACCACATCTGACAGCGGATTCGATATGATGAGATACGTTTGTTGGAGTTCCGTCAAGACGAAATTATAACCTTCCCTAGGCCCTTCAAATATATATATATATATAGATAAAGATAAAATAAACCTGGTTTACTTCATAAGATTTATTCACTACAAACTTGTTTCGTATGACAAGCAATGCTAGCCACACTCATCAGGTGAATTTAAATTCACCTGATGAGTGTGGCTAGCATTGCTTGTCATACGAAACAAGTTTGTAGTGAATAAATCTTATGAAGTAAACCAGGTTTATTTTATCTTTATCTATATTAGCTCTATACTTCGGTATATCGAGCACTCTACTCATATATGATTCTAAATACATATTTGGTATATATATATATATATATATATATATATATATATATATATATATATATATATATATATATATATATATATATATAATATACATATATATATATATATATATATATATATATATATATATATATATATATATATATATATATATATATATATATATATGTATATATATATATATATATATATATATATCGGTTTTGGAGTTGTTTTCAGACGAGTGTATACCAAACCGAGCAAGCTGAAAATTCTACTTGACCGCGGCTGGGATTCGAACCCGCGACCTTCGCATTTCTAGAACGATGCTCTACCGTCTGAGCAACAAGGTCAAACTGAGAACGACTTGTTAAGTTATAATGTTAGTTGCATTTCGGAGGTTAGTCCTTCAATGCGTAAAGCCAGCTATTAGTCTGGCAATGTTCATATTTACTCGAAATAACGTGGAAACACTAGCACTACGTGCTCGTGTTCCCACTGATTATTTCTCGTTCTCCCAAACTAGCACGCGTGTTTCTATAACTATATAGAAACACGGAAAATGTTTTCTATTTCTTAAATATCAACACTCGTGGAAATTGGGAAAACTCGAAATTGTGTGAAAACACTCCACCCTTCGGGCGTCGTGTTTCCACACAATTTCTCGTTTTCCCTAGAAAATCCTTGAGAGGGCGAGATTTTTATTAAATTCGTACCAAACGAATGACCTAATTGTACACTATATGTTTTACCTCGAACTGGCATAGAAACCGAGACTTCAGGTAAACCTTCTGCTGTCGTAATTTTCCTGTTATCACCTGCTTCTCTCGGTCCTAGATAATAATATAAAATGAAATATTTAATTTACGAAATAAAGAATTTTAGAATATTGTTATGATTATCAACACTTTACAGTACATAAAAGTAGCCATCAACAGGGGTTTACTTACCATGGTGGTAGGTTTCTTCTTCATTTTCGTTTTTCTCTTCTTCAGGAGCTCGGCCGACTGTGCCAATATGTGTTAGTTCAGGATTGTTCATTGTATGCAATACTACCGGTAGTATATCCCACTGTTTTTCTGCTGTTTTCTCAGCTTTTTCGAGGTATTCTTTTCCCTCTTTAATTTGACCAATTTTTGTTAAGGAACATCCTAGTCCAATGTATGCTGACATTTCTTCAAACACATTACCATTTTCTTGTGTTGACTTTACAGCCATCTTGTAATTTTCAATAGCATTTTGATACTCCCCATTGCCTCTATATGTATGGGCTAAACCTAGATATATCGTTGATTTACTTTTCTTGTAGCTTTGTTCTGGTGCAATATCCAAAGCTTCGAGAAAGTACCACTGTGCAGCATCGTTATCACCAAGCTTTCTGTACGCTTTTCCCAAACCACGACATGCCTCTATTTCTTCCCATTTGCTTTCATGTTCTTTCGCGATCTTTCTAGCCATTTTATACTTGTCAATGGCGATTTCATTTTGTTCATTGCTCTCATAAGCGTGTGCTAAACCTAGAAATACCTCTGCCACTTGGATTCTATTACTTCCAGCTTCAGCCATCGGGAGAGCCCGTTGATAATATACGATTGCTTTTTCATTGTCACCAGCTTCCCTGTAGGTATGTCCTAACCAGCGCAAAGCCTCTGCCTCATAAAATTGGTCCCCTCGTGCAATCTCAAAAGCTTTTTCATAGTGATAAATTGCAGCTTCTTTCTTTCCGTCTTTTCTATAATCATGACCCAACGCCATGCATGTTTTAGGGGTTTGATCAGTAATTTTATACGCATGTTGCAGCCTAATACATGCTTTAGATGTTGCTCTCTCATCGCCCTTTTCAAGAGCTTCTTGCAACAATTTCTCACATTTTTCAGGCTCCGTCAGTTCCTTCCGACGTTTCTTATCTATTCCACTTGACTCTCCCAAACCATCATGTTCACCAGTTTTCGTCGATGCTTCCTTGACTTTATTTTCATTTCGTCGTCTGATACTTCCAAATTTCCTCTTAAACATTTCCTTAAATCCTAAACCGTTCACTTCTCTTATTGTCTTCTCGATCTGTATGAACGGTAGAACAAAAAATATAAACATATTGTGCTAAAGGCTCATTATAGTCATTATAAAATAACCGTCCGCCGCCATAGTTCACACCGAATCTTCAACGTACCAAAATAAATTTATTAAAATAATTTGACATTTTTGTTGACACTATAGTATAGTTACACTACTCCTTCAGCAGAAAATTAAAGTAAAGTTCCATTTTAGTCAAAAAGGTTTAGTTGTTATTTGGGGAAACTTATGTGCAGATTACTACAATAAATTCCATCTACGTTGCTCTGTAAATGGAGCATCTGTCGAACAACATAATGTAAATGTAAATGCAAGTGCATCTAAATGTAACGTAAATGCATAGGTATAAATGTAACGTAAATGTTACGTAAATGTAACGTTAATGTAACGTAAATGTAACATAAAAGAAACTTAATTGTAACGTAAAAGTAACGTAAATGTAACGTAAATGAAACTTAAATGTAACGTTAATGTAACGTAAATGTAACGTAGGCTATAAATGTAACGTAAATGTTACGTAAATGTTACGTAAATGTAACGTAAAAGAAACTTTAATGTAACGTAAATGTAACTTTAATGTAACGTAAATGTAACGTAAATGTAACCTTAATGTAACGTAAATGTATATAACGTAAAAGAAACTTAAATGTAACGTTAATGTAACGTAAATGTAATGGATAAATGTAACGTAAATGTTACGTAAATGTTACGTAATTGTAACGTAAATGCAACGTAAATGTAACGTAAATGTAACGTAAATGTAACGTAAATATAACGTAAATGTAACGTAAATGTAACGTAAATGTAACGTAAATGTAACGTAAATGTAACGTAAATGTTACGTAAATGTTACGTAAATGTTACGTAAATGTTACGTTAATGTAACGTAATTGTAACGTTAATGTAACGTAAATGTAACGTAAAAGAAACTTAAATGTAACGTTAATGTAACGTAAATGTAACGTAGGCTATAAATGTAACGTAAATGTTACGTAAATGTAACGTAAAAGAAACTTAAATGTAACGTAAATGTAACGTAAATGTAACGTTAATGTAACGTAAATGTATATAACGTAAAAGAAACTTAAATGTAACGTTAATGTAACGTAAATGTAATGTATAAATAGTTAACATGCACCGAAGCACGTAATTGTAAACGAACGTAAAGCCTCATTACTGAACGAAACAATCGTCAAAACTACAGTTCTCTATTGGCTGATAGCACTCAATCCATTTTCAACCGAATAATAATTTGCATAATTTATTCGCACGAAAATTGGCAGTGTGTTGGTGATTTACATACGATTGCTTACGTACGGAACGTAAACGCGAAATTTGCATGCATGAGATGTTATAACTCGAGACGTCTCGCTCATTCCCTGAAAAACTGGCACGCTTGATGCATGCCATTCTTTA